CTCCAGCCTCAACCTCCCTAGTAGCTGGGACTACAGGTGCACGCCACCATTGCGGCTAATTTTTTATATTTTTAGTAGAGACGGGGTTTCACCATATTGGCCAGGCTGGTCTCCAACTCCTGACCTCGTGATCCACCCGCCTCAGTCTTCCAAAGTACTGGGATTACAGGCATGAGCCACCGCACACGGCCCTTATTCCCTCCTTTTTGAACCCCTTTATTCTCTTAGCTCTTTCCAAGACACTACACCCTCCTGGTTCTCCTCCCACCTCTGTGGCAGCTCTTCATTTTCTTTTGAAATGTTCACATTCCATAGGGTTCTGCCCTACGCCATCTTCTCTTCTTACTCTTCACACTCTTCCTGGCGATCTTAATCATTCCCCTTGTTTTATCTCCCCTTTGCAAAGGTTCACATTTCATATTAATATTAACTTAATTATATTGTATTCAATATCTATTCTTTAAGAGGCAGCATAGTATCTTAGAAAAAGAATGAGTTTTAGAGTCAGAGAGATCTGAGTTACTAAGCTGTGTGAACTCTAAATATTGCCTCTCTTTAGAGCTTTTAGGACTCTAGCAAAGCCCCCTCTTACTCCATATTCTCTCCTAAAGTAATCTTATCTATACCCTAAAATTTGTAATGAATTATCTGGCCATGTAAGATGTCCCTGCTTCCCCTTTGCCTTCCACCATGATTGTAAGTTTCCTGAGGCCTCCCTGTCAGAGGCATGTGAACCAGAGCAACTTTATCTTGAATAGGAGCTGGGTAAAATAAGGCCGAGACCTACTGGGCTGCATTCCCAGACAGTTAAGGCATTCTAAGTCGCTGGATGAGATAGGAGGTCAGCACAAGATACAGGTCATAAAGACCTTGCTGATAAAACAGATTGCAGTAAAGAAGCCAGCCAAAACCCACCAAAACCAAGATGGCGACAAGAGTGAATGTACACAGCCTAATTTCCTTAATATGGTTATTTTCAGCATGTAGGGTTACCATAGTGAATGGTGGGGCACTGATAAACAGGGATATCTAGATATTTAGAAATAGCTCCTGTATAACTGTTCATCCTAGAGCTGGCAAATGCAGACCCTAGAAGGGCAGGCCAGGGGAGCCCTATATTCCAGTGGGACAGCAGAAATATTTGCCTCCTGGCAATTGGATCAGGATTGGATCCTGGCAATTGGATCAGGTTTTGCCTCCTGGCAATTGGATCAGTAATCTGATCCAGTCCTCCCTTGATGGGACTGAAGTAAGTTACTAAATCTTGGAGCCTTAGTTTTCTCCCCTGTAAAATGGAGATAATTCTGTCCACCAAGTCCTAGGACGATCACATGAGATAACAGAGATGAAAGCAGTCTGTTGACTTTTAAAGGGCTGCCAGATGTTCTAAATTATTACTATGCTGGGCAGTGCTGCAAATATGCATCTTAGATTTAGCAGATTGTCCTCTATCCTACTTAATTTTATTTTATTGTAAGTTCTGGGGTACATGTGCAGGATGTGCAGGTTTGTTACACAGGTAAAAGTCTGCCATGGTAATTTGCTGCACCTATCAACCCATCATCTAGGTATTAAGCCCAGCATGCATTAACTATTTTTCCTGATGCTCTCCCTCCCCCAACCCCACCCCGACAGGCCCCAGTGTGTGTTGTTCTCTTCCCTGTGTCTTTGTGTTCGCATTGTTTAGCTCCCACTTATAAGTGAGAACATGCAGTGTTTTGTTTTCTGTTCCTGCATTAGTTTGGTGAGGATAATGGCTTCCAGCTTCACGTGATGTGTTATTTTGTGGTTTACAAACACATCTAGTGATTCTGTTGCTTTTGAATCAAAATAATTCACACGATTCCAGTGTATCACTGATTGCCATTGCTGTTCATGCTTCTTTTCTCTTGGATGTTTCAACTTAGGCAACTTTTCCTCCTCTTATGTTATGCTCAAAACAGACCTACATCAAGGATACCTGTTCTCGTTTGAAATTCACGATCAGTAGAGGGCGCTAACACATTATCAATAGCTATAAAGTAATTGACATTTGAGTATGGGATATATTTTTCACTGCAGCTTATTCCAGTTAGAGTCATCACGTATCTTCCTCTGTTTATCTGAGCCATCTGTGGTTCTAATAAGAGCTTTTGCAAAGCAGTTGTGAATAATTATTATCTTTTTTTTTTTTTTTTTTT